GGCCTCTCTTGCCTCATCTCGGGGGCTACATTATGGACTGGAAAGGCTGTTTGTGAGCATGGTGCATGGTGGACCCTTGCTACAGGAGTCACACGAGTATACGAGAAAACCAAGGAACAACTGAATAAACAGCTGGGGCCACGCTCTGTCACGTCTCCACGTCTGCTGGGTGTCAGAACTTCCCAGGGCAGGGGAGTAGCCCCTTCCCACAGGCATCTCTCCCTGCAGAGAAGACACCATAGAAACCCACACTGCAGCGAGGGCCAGCGCGACCGTCCGCCTCCCTGACGGCATCACAAGGGCCTCCATGCAAGTCTCAAGCCGTCCGTCCAAAGTGCAGGGGAGCCAGGCGTCTGCACTCTCTGACTGCTTCCTGTAGATACGTATGGAGCTGTCCGGGAGCCTCTTCGACCTGGGTGGGCGCGTCCCTGTGCCCCAGCCCCCTCCGGAGACGCTCCTCACTCCGTGGGCGCGTCCCTGTGCCCCAGCCCCCTCCGGAGACACTCCTCACTCCGTAGGAGCGTCCCTGTGCCCCAGCCCCCTCCGGAGACGCTCCTCACTCCCAGCTCAAGCAGCTCCTGGAAGTTGTCTCTGATCTGGACCCCGCTCCAGACCACACTCTGGCTGGGAGCCGGGTTTGGGGCGTGAGAACTCCCACAGACGTGGGTTAGTGTCCGCTCCAGGGCTGGGGGAGAAGGAAGCGTGCCCGGCCGCCCAGACTGCATCATCTCATCTGGGTCTGAGACATTGGCCTGCAGAGCCCCAGTTACCCGTCGCCGAGAGGGTGTGAAAAGCGTGTGCCCAACTGGAGTTCAGCGAGGACGAGCTCTGGCTTCCTTCATTTTAATCATATCTTTCCAGGGGCCTCTGGACCTGATGCAGGGGTTCCCTGGGCCTCTCTGGTGGGGGAGGGTGTTACTGGCTTATTTTCTGCCAACAGGAGCAAAAGATTAGGGAGCTCATCAGCTTGAGTTGGGCGAGGTGGAGGGTCGCGGTCAATCCCGTATCCACCACGTGACCTGATGAGAACAGGCGAGGCCCAGGAGCTGTGAGTAAGAAAGCGCTCAGGCCGAGTCACGTGCAGCTGAGCGGGGGCCTGTCCTCCCTGTGCTCCTGGATGGAGGCCCTCCCTGCGGGTTCCTCTGCTCTTTCCTGCCCTACTCCTTCCTTCATGAATCAGCCCCCCGGCCCCGACCCTGGCGTGATCCTGTTTAAACCCACGCTTCTTCCTCCTCTGGATCTCTGGCTGTCGGGGAGGCCCTTCTTAAGGACCTGCTGAGGCTCCACCACCCCCTCCTCCTACAGAAGACACTTCTTTCACCTGCCCCAAAGACCAGGCAGCTTCCCACCGGGCCTCCCCCTGCATCCCCTCATTCCAGAGGGCTCCCAAGGGGCAGACTGCAGTGAGCGTCTGTGGACAGCAGGCCTGCCTCAGGGGAAGCCCACACAGCCTCTGCTGCACTCGGAGGCTTCTAGTCAGCCATGGACGGTCGCCATTCCCCGGCTTGGGGCCCACTGAGCAGGGCTGGGAGATGGTGCAGTGGGAGGCCCAGAAGAGGTTCTAGGCCTACCCAATACCTGGCCTGGCTGCTTGGGGAGGGGCAGCCACTGCCCCTGGAGGGCCTCTTCTGTGCCGGTGCCCCCACGGCACACACCATCCAGGAATCCCAAGTCTCCGGTCAGGAGTGTGACCACCGCCTGCCTGCAGTAGGCTGAGGAGTGAGGTCTGTGAGCCTTTGCTTCCTGGCCCGCTGCTGACTGACCGCTCTGCCAGGAATGACCACGCTGGACTCTGCAGCTTGGGCCGAGATAGCAGTCCCAGAGGAATGTTTCTGAGATACGATCTTCGCATCCCATGATCCGGCAGCTCCCAGACCACAATGAGGGGGTCAGACACCACCCAGGTCTCCGTACCCCTTGGGGAGCTCTGGTGTCGCCCCCATCTGTCTGTTTTGGGTGTAAAGTAGAGTCCACAGGCCCTGGAGCCCACCAGCAGCTTTAGGTGGCTGGGCCTGACCTTCCAGTTGGTACTGAGAGGCCCTCAGCCCTCACCCCCCACTGCCACCAAGGAACCCTGTGGTTACCTCAACCCCAGGCCATGTGGCTCGGACCCCAGGGCCTGCCTTTCCCACCAGGCCCACTTGCAAAGGCAGAGGTGAACCCCCAACCCTACAGAAAGCAGGCACCTGCACCTTCCAGATGGTTCCCCCACTGCCCCAAAGCACAATTGACTGGTCAGACCGTGGGCCTGAGAAACAGATGCCCCATCATGACCCGTACACAAACTCCCAGGAAACAAGCCAGCGGCCCGTCTGTTCCTCTGAGGAGCGCACGAAGAGCCTGGACCTTTTTGAATTCCTTTCTTCCAGAGCATGTGATGGAACACCTCGCTGTTCAGGGCCGACCAAGGGAGGGCAGATGTGCCTGGCAGCTTCCTTCCCCGTCCACAGTGCCGGCCCCCAGCCTGGCTCTGGCCCGGCTAGCCTGGTGACCGTCACAGCCCAGGCAGGGAAGGGACATCAGGACCCAGGGACCCCAGGACACCCAGTGGGAAGAGGCCTCAAATCAGGCCGGGCCTTAGGATGCTTGCAGCGGAATGTGATTTTAGCATCTACGTTTGAACAGTCATAGTTTTCTTGCATATTAGAAAAAAATGTAGGGCCTAAAAACCACAACGAAGGATTCTGGCGTTTTTGACGGAGGCTGAATTCCTAGTCAGCCCGAGCCGGCTGAGTGATAAACAGCCGTCTCTCGGAGGGGCCTCCGGTCGGCACCCTGTCTCTGGGAGGGGCCTCTGGTCAGCACCCCGTCTCTGGAAGGGGCCTCGTGGTCTCTGCCCTCAAAGTCCAGAAGCATCCACAGATGTGGAAGAGTGGGTGTGGCTTGTGCCAATTACACTGTGTTTACGGACCCGGAAATGGGAATTCTCTTTAACTTTCACGTGTCACAAAGCCTTCTCTTTTCCCCCAATCATTTATAAATGTTAGAATCATTCCTAGCCTGTGGTCAGACACGGGCAGGCTGAATTTGGCCACAGCTGCAGGTGCTGCCCTGCAGCTGCCTCATGTTCCCATCCTGTGGCTGAAGGACAGACCCACCACGCTGAAGGGGCTCGCCGGGCGCATGTGGCACTGGGCATCAGGGCCTGGGCTGGAACTCCTGTCCCCACCTCGGGGCCCCACCTGGGGGTCTTGGGGGTGCGGTGGACGCTGGGTATGGTTGCCGCCGGCTGTATCCCGCCCCTTCCTGCCTCCGCAGCATCAGTGGGGGGCCTCTTGCCACTGGGGCTGGAGGTATCCCGGCTGGGCCACCATGCAGGCTGTGGGGTGCTGTATGGCCAGGCCAGGCCCAGAAGGAGTCCCATCCATCAGAGGAGAGAAAGAGGCCCCAGCCAGAGGGAAACAGGGTGGACAGTAGGAGGGGACTGGGTCGCTGAAGTCCCCGAGGCCAGCTCCTCCAGGGACTCTCCACAAACTTCCTTTGTGACTTAAAGTTATTTTGAGTTCAGGTCTTGTTTCCTGCAACTCTCAAAATCCTGCAGCTCCACGAGTTTGCCCTTGTCGCCCAGAAGAGACCCCGGAGGACCCAGCCAGGCTCAGAGTGAAACAGCCCCTCCGAGCTCAGGACCCCACAGGACAGGGTTCCAGCTGCAGCGAGGAAGCAGGGCCCAGGGTTTCCAAGGGCAGTGCCCGCACACACACCGGGGAGAGCAAATGACACACCCAGAAACCCACCAGCCCGCTTGGACCCACCTTGGACCTGCCCTGGGCAGCCCCGAGACATGGTCATGGTGATGCAGACTGCGTTTCCCTGCGAGAAGCCCTCCCCTTGCCGCTGCGAACCCTGTCCCGATCCGCTCTTGACCTGTCCAGGGCACCACGGCCTTGCCCAGGATCTTGTGGCTGAGTCAAGATGAGCCCAAGGAGCCGGCAGTCGTGCCGGAATATTCCAAAGGCCCAGAGGCTGTCACAGACAGTGACGTGTAATAAAAATCCCCAGATGTTCCAGGACAGGAAGCCAGTTGAACCCTTCCCGTTCTGCCTGCGGCTGCTGTGGAAACACAATCATTTCATAGTCAGAAATCTACCCGTGTCCTGCTGGAAGCCATCAGTGTGTCTGACAAGAGCCTGAAACAGCAGTTGGCGGAGACATGAATAAAAGGCCTGTGTCTTGGATTCAATCACCCGGCTCTAAGGTGGCGCTGGCTTTTTAAAGGATGCCGGGGCTGAAGCTGGAGGAGGAGGCAGCCAGCACAACCCCCTGGAGGCCTTGTCTGACCTCAGCTTAGGAGGCTGAAGCTGCAGCCTCCGCCCACCGCGCCACCCTTGGGAAGGGGCTCCCGCAGAAGGGTTGGCTCTGCCCTCTAGGAGCTGGTCCTGCTGTTCACTTCCATGGCCCTGGTGGCCTTCATGGAGACAGCCATTGTGTACAAAGGAAGGAAAGTAAGAGGCCCCCCGCCTTCTCTCACCCTTTCCGGGGAAACCGAGGCAAGTGACACCTTAAGTCCCAGGGTGCTCCATGGAGCAGCTGAGACTCCAGCTTCTGTCTTCTGACTGCCAGGGAGCTGTCTTTCTGGGTCCCTGGGAGGGAGGCTGGAAAGGGCTGGTTTCAGAATGCGGTTGGGCATGTTTGTTTTTCTCAATTCTGCATTTAAATCATCTCGAGTCATGGTTCTGATGACACACGAACGTGTGTGTAGATTGTGCGTATGTGCAGTGGAGCCAATCGATGAGCAAAAGGATATTTTACCATAATTTCTTTCTTTTTTTTTTTGAGATGGAGTCTCGCTCTGTCCCCCAGGCTGGAGGGCAGCGGTGTGATCTTGGCTCACTGCAAGCTCCGCCTCCCGGGTTCACGCCATTCTCCTGCCTCAGCCTCCTGAGTAGCTGAGTAGTGGTGCCCGCCACCACACCCGGCTAATTTTTTGTATTTTTAGTAGAGACATGGTTTCACAGTGTCAGCCAGGATGGTCTCGATCTCCTGACCTCGTGATCCACCCACCTCGGCCTCCCAAAGTGCTGGGATTACAGGCGTGAGCCACCATGCGCGGCCCATAATTTCTAACCAATGCTTCCTACGTAATGACTGCGGTTGAAAGAAAATGTTAATAAAAGGTATGAGTTCTCTGGCAATCTGGCTGCCCTCTTGAAGGCCACGACTGAACCAAGGTATGTTCTGGAGGAAGAACTATCTGGGTCACCTCAGGATAAAATCCCAAGGTAATTCTCTTCCTCCCCAAACTCACTCTTTCCCACCCCACACCCTGTCTTCTCTCCCACCCCTCGGCTCTCTCACACACCCTTTCCAGACGGAGCTAATGGTGAAGTCCCTCCGCCCCCATCACAGGTGGCCCAGCATCTGTCAGGAGGGGCGTATGGAGAATGGTCTCCCCTAGGACCTTTGGGGAGGACAGCCCCTAGCGCAGGGGTGCAGTTAAGCCCTCTGAAACCTGTCCCACCCCCAGGTAGCTGGGAGCTGTGGATCCCAGGGAACCGTGACTGTCACAGACCACTGGGACTGCAGGATTGACTCCCACTCAGACCAGATCTAGGGTGAGAGGGGGTCGAGACGTGGGGATGTGGGGGATCCTGCATGGCTCAGGGCTCTGAGGTCACCTAACCCTCCCCATTTGGCCTGGACTAGCAGGGTGTGGGGCTTTTAGTACTGAAACCAAGGAAGTCCCGGGCAGATCAGGACCCTGGCCCCCCGCTGGGGTGGAAGTCTGGGAGATCTGTGGGGCGGTGGGTGTGCAGGTGAAGGCTGAGGCCCCAAAGCCCCACCATCCCAACAGTGTGCCTGCCACTTGGGTCCCGCCCCCTTGGTGAGGACAGTGTTGAGTCCTGGCCAGTTCCCCCTGCCCGGGCTCAGGTGGCAGCTGAGAGGGGTGCAGAGGACTCCTGGCCCGTCACGCTGAGCCTGCCGGCCTCGGGACAGGCTCCGCAGAGCCCAAGACACCATCTATGGAATGGCTGATAGTCACCAACATGCCCTGGGCCCCGTCTCACTGCTGGCATCACCACACATGCTTCTCCGACACACCTCCCTCCCAGCTCTTCGAGAGCCCAGCAGAAGGAGACACGGTGCCCCAGTGACGTGCAGCAGTACAGGGTCCCCCAGCCTGGTAGGTGAGGGAACGGGACCGACTGGGTTCAGGGCACCCCCGACTGAGGCCTCCTGTCCAGGCAGCCGGTAAATAGTTTAAATCCTTTTTTCCTGACTATAAAAATAATACATATTCATTGACAGAGAATTTGAAAATTAAGAGCATTACAAGAAACAGAAGGAGAAAAACCCACCATATATTCACAACACAAAGAGAACACCATCAACATTTTGGAATGTTTCCTTCCAGTGTTGACTGTTTCTGTGCATTTCAAAAGCATAGTTAAATAATTGTGTGTGTGTGTGTGTGTGTGTGTGTGCGCGCATGTGTGTTCTAGCTGGGTTTTCTGAGATTCTGCGTTTGTCTTTTTGGCATCCATTCGTCACAGGGCCAATTGCATTCACTATAATTTGCTTGTTTTCTGTATTCTTGATGCTCTGGCTTTCAGAGACTCTTGCAGACTGTCCCTCCCAGAGCGGGCTGATCTCAGAGCCAACATAGGGCTTGGCCTAGAGCAGCCAGTCCTGTCTATACTCCAACCACCCGCTTCATCTCACTGGTACACCAAGCCAGCATTTTCCTTGCCCCAGGTGACCCCAGAGCCAGGCAAGCAGGGACAGCCCCTACGCCCCAAAGTCCACCAGAATTGTTCAGGCCAGCCAGTCCTGAGCTGTCTACCCACCTGTCCTGCCTTTCCCGAGGAAACGCCAAGAAAGGCTGGTGCCTGCTCCTCCCCAACCTAACTGGCATTTCCTGGCCCTGCGAGGCGTGGCAGGCCCCCTCTTCTTGTAAATATAAAAGTCTCCTTTCTGGGACATGGCCTGTTCGCATTGACACTCAGTCATACCTCTATAAACTCACTCCCAGGTACGATTTTAATCCAACGTGTGTGTGTGTAGGGGGTGTACACTGTAACCATGGGGGTCTCCAGTACCTTTAGTATCCCTTTTCAATGTAATTTGTAATGATTGTACGACATTCTCTCTTATGGATATGCCCAAATCTCTCCTTTTGCTATATTGGATTTGCTTCTGTGCATTTTTTAATTACCCTGAGATGAATCTTTTTCTGCATCAATATTTTCCCATAGCTTGGGATCTTTCCTTATGTTCGAGGATCAGAAATAGAAGCCCAGGACTGAAGGAACGTTTTCAGGTTGCAGATCCACGTTGACAACATCCGCTAAAAGTCTACCTGCATTTACGCTGCACTGAGGATGACCAGTTAAATAAAATTTCTCCAGTTCAGCAGGGAAGCCGTAGTGTCTGGACGTAAATTCTTTTGCCGATTGATGAGGTCGAACCTTCTTCCCGGCGTTTAGCGGCCCCTTATGTTTACATCCTTGAGAACTCCCTACTCCTGTTCTCGGCCTGCCTTTCAAGTTGAGGTCTGTTTTTAAAAGGTAAACTGAGGCATAGTACACTTTTTAGAGAGTTGACTTGAGCAAACCACCATTCATGAATCGGGGAGCCCCACAGCAGAGTGGATGGGGAGCTCCACCAAGGGAACACAGGGGCAGCTCTGCTAGGACAGGTGCAGAGGTAAAGCAGAGAAAGTATCTGATTGGTCGCAGGTACGCAGTTGTCTAACGCACACCAGAGAGGGTATCCGATTGGCCACAGGCACGCAGTTGCCGCTTGTAAAGCAGAGAAAGTATCTGATTGGCCGCAGGCAGACAGAGAAGGTATCTGATTGGCTGCAGGTATGCAGTTGCCTAACACACACCAGAGAGGTTATCTGATTGGTCACAGGTACAGCAGTTGCCAGAGGTGAAGCAGAGAAAGAACCTGATTGGCTGCAGGTATGCAGTTTCTTTATTGGGTCCATCCCATTGGAAAGTCCCTGGTTAGTAAGTTTGTTGGCTGCTTCTGATTGGTGGAGCTTAAGTTCTGTTTCTCTTTCATGTAGGCATTTACAATAAATAGCTCAGTTTTGCTTACCTCTGCAACTCAAGTAAGGGTGAGGTCACTTGCGAGGCCTGCCTGGCACCGTCTGCTTGGGCCTCTTGGGGCCTAGTCTCCAGTTTAATGTAACAGGCCGCTGAGGCTTCTTTATTTCCGTTTGGAGAAGTTCTTTGCTCATGAGGGGATTGTTGTGGGTAGAATTACGTCTGTCTCCATTCCACTCCCCCATGTGTATGCCGAAGTCCTGACCCCCAGTACCTCAGAATGTGACTTATTTGGAAATAGGCTTTTTGCAGATGGAATTCGTTAAAAAGAGGCCATGCTGGAGCAGGCTGGGCCCCTAAGCCAATGACCACTGTCCTTCTGAGAAGGGGAGATTTGGGCACAGACAGGCGCTGCAGAACGTGTGTGAAGAGGCAGACAGGGAGCGGGATGATGCTCCCACCAGCCAGGGAATGCCAAGGGTCCCAGAGGCACAGAGAGATGCCAGGACAGACGCTGTCCCCTAGCCCCAGAAGGAACCAGCCCTGCCAACACCTTCATTTTGGGCGTCCAGCCTCCAGCACCGCAAGAGAGTATCTGTTGTCTGGACCCCTGTTTGTGGTGCTTTGTGCAACAGCCACGGGACACCCGGGGGTCGAGCCTGACCAGCTGGATGGCTGTCAGCATGGTCTCGATTTTCTCCGTGGGGGATGGAAGGCAGCTCCACTCCCCATTCCTGCAAAGGCCCCCTCGGGGCTAGCCCTGCACGGTTCATGTCACAGAGGGGCCCGGTCCCCCTTTTCCCCCCAGAAAGGAGCTCTAGGCTATTCCCGACAGCCCAGGATGACATGACGTGAGCAGCCCTCCGTCCCAAGTCCCCTCTGTGACACCTGCTGCAGGCGCCAGGCAGCTGTTGGAGAGCCGGCCTGAGGGGCTTCCAGTCACAGCAGATGAGGGTCCCTTGGTCCTCAGGGATGCATCCTGGATAGGAGTCCAGGACTGCAGCTCCTGCTCACCTGGTTGCATGAACTGAGTATTGAATGAGCGCCCCAGCACCAGGAAGGGCCCCCAGCACAGAGGATGTGGGACGAGAGTGGTACTGGGAGTAGCAGAGTTTCAACAGACAGAGGTGGAGGCCTCAGGCCAGCACAGCTCTGGCAGCCTCAGGGGCCCCCAGCGATGCTGGGTCAGCGCCAAGAGGACAGCCTGGCCTCACGTTGAGGCCACAGCAGGGCAGGCAGGGGGCTCACTCCCTGCACATTGCTTGCACCTCTGCTCTTGGCCCCATACTTTGTTTCTAAGGGCTTGGAAGCTGCACACTCACTTCCAGAACTCCCGTGCCTACAGGTGCCTCGGCCAGCTCTGCTGCAGGAGGAGGGGGCAACGCTTCTTGCTTCCAGTGGCCACTAGGGTGAGGGCAAGTGTCCTCACCTTGCTGCAGGTGGCCCCTCGGGTCAGGGCAGGTGTCCTCACCCTGCTGGGGGCAGCCCCTCTGGTCAGGGCAGGTGTCCCCACCCTGCTGGAGGTGGCCCCAGGGATCAGGGCTGGTGTCCTCGCCCTGCTGGGGGCAGCCCCTCTGGTCAGGGCAGGTGTCCTCACCTTGCTGGGGACAGCCCCTCTGGTCAGGGCAGGTGTCCCCACCCTGCTGGAGGTGGCCCCAGGGATCAGGGCTGGTGTCCTCGCCCTACTGGGGGCAGCCCCTCTGGTCAGGGCAGGTGTCCCCACCCTGCTGGAAGTGGCCCCTCACCAGCACATCCAGAGCCAGCTGCAGCTCTAACAGCTCGGCAGCACAGGCTCCGTGGGCTAGAGCAGCTCCTGTCGCCGGGAGCACGCTCCTGCCCTGGCCTTCCCCAAGCCTGCTTCTCCCTTCTGCTCTTTGGGCACCTCGGTAGCTAATTCCTGGTGTTAAAGCTCTTCTGTTGGAACATCTAGACCAGCTGGTTTTCCTCACAGGACCCTGACTGTCAGACCTACTGCCCTTTAGTGAAGTCAAGAATGAAAGAGCACCCCTAGGCCAGGTATAGGCCAGATTTGCTTCTGTGACACGTCCCACGCAGACCCACCTGAGTAGGACCACCCCGTCCTACTGCAAATACAGGTGAAAGCCCCAATGCAAATACAAACACAAATACAAGCACAGATGCAAATGCAATTGCAAGTTCTGATGCAAATGCAATTTGCAGCTGCACCCCTGAGACTACCCCCTCCCCACCACAGATGCACACGCACACATACTGACATATTCACACACACACTGGTGCAGCTCTGCAGCTGCACCCGTGAGACACCCCTCCCCATCGCAGACACACATGCACTCATACTGGCACATTGCAGAGCACTGTGTGATAGCGTTGTTTTTAACTGCAAATGCCTGAACTCAATCTAGATTTCCATGCATAGTTATGAAACTTCCAATGGGCTGCTACTCAGCCGCAGGAAAGGCTGGGGCTGTGTGGCGGTGGAGAAGGAGCTCTGACGCACGGCATTTGCTGAAAAAAGCGGAAGTGCACAAGAGCAGGAGCAGTGAGCCCCACCTCTGCACACAGGCGTAGACAGTGCTTGCGCCTATCTGCTCATTAACGCACAGAAGGATGCACACCACGGTTGGCCATGCTGCTTGTCTTGATGGGCGGGTGGGGACTGGGTAGAAGGAAGGCTTCACAGAATAGATACCCCGTGGGGCCTTTAGAACTTTGCAGCATATGCCACGCTATAAAATACATGCAAAAATGTGCTATTTATTCAAGGATTGAACTTGAGTAACATGATTATTTCACAGAAGACCCTGGCACTCGAGACAGGCCGCGGTGGGCAGGCAGCCCCCTCGGGGGACACAGCTGGCCCCGGCAGCATGTAGCAGCAGTAGAAGACTCCCTGCTCACTGCAGACCTGAGCTCAAGCCAGAGGAGCCAGGCTTCCGAGCACCGGGGGCCCTGAGGCCACTGGAGAGGGTGGCTGTCCCACCCCTGGAGGCCCCAAGAGACCTCGTCTGGGGCTGGCACCTATGCCTACTTATTTGGCCATAATGAATGGGCACTCCCGGGAGCGGATGTGCCCAATAACAGTCCAGCAAGACTGCCTGGAGAACCACCTCTGGTACACACTTTAAAGCCACACTGGCCACGAGGGACGCTGGTGAGCCGGTGGTCTGCAGAGCTACCTACTGGGTGTATTTACCTTACCTCACTCCCAGCCAGCCAAGGGAGGCCAGGTAGCCCCTCGATGGAACCACTAATGTCACAGCCCACAGCCCCCACCAGGGACAGGCCCTGCAGCAGCCTGGAGGCTGATGTGTCCACACCATCAATGGTCGTCAGCAGGGGCTCTGTGGAAGGACAGAGCTGCTGGTGCCTTGGGGAGACGAGAGACCGGCTGCCGTCTGTAACTGCTGGCCCGGCTGTGGGCTCTCGGGTGAGGTCTGCAGCCATGCACTGGACCACCGTGTTGTACAGGAAGAGGACTTCTCATTGGTTTCCACAGTCTGTGCACCCTGAGAGCAGGTTGCCTACTGGAACCTGGTTCAATATCTCTTGGTTGAAACGTTGGTGGTGCCAGGGCTTGAAAGCCCCTACCCGGGAGGGCTCCCCTCCTGGTTCTGACTTGCTGTCCTCGGCAGGTGAGGCTTCCTGCCCATCCTGTCAGCTCGAGGCCCATAGCCCCTCTCCCCTCTTCCTAGGAGCACCCTGACGCAGTCACACAGAGACCCGCACGACTGATTTACGGACAGAGAAACCCGCTTTGCTGACTCTGAACACAGGTGGCCTGGCTCCTGCACAGACCCCCCGAGTCTCTGGGCACACACTTCAGAGAGCCTCCCGGGGTCAATGCCACTTCAAGAAACCGGTGGCCTGAGAGTCTAGAATCTTCTGGCTATCAGTCAGCAGTGCCTGCCTGTGGGAGCCCAGGCCCTTAGCAAACTCCTAGGCTCGGTGCTTTCCCACAGCGAATCTTCAGTACTAAGATTCAGCTTCCAGCTTTCATCGGTTGTGTATGCCTTTCCTGGCCCAAATAACATCGTGGTGGGACACTAGATAGGAGCCTGTCCCCAGATAAATGAGTTACAACAGTAACTAGTCACTAGTAATTAAACACACAGAGACAGACTATTATTTTTATTATTTTGAGACGGAATCTTGCTCTGTCACCGAGGCTGGAGTGCAGTGGCGCAATCTCTGCTCACTGCAACCTCCGCCTCCCAGGTTCAAGCGATTCTCCTGCCTCAGACTCTGGAGTAGCTGGGACTACAGGTGTGCACCACCAGGCCCGGCTAATTTTTCTATTTTAATAGAGACAGGGTTTCACTGGATGATTTACCCCTTTTAAAAATAATG